GGTGGGTTCCAGCCTGATGGAGCTGTTCTGGAATTATACACGGGGGTTAGCCCTGAAAACCAGCCGCCAGCTTTTGCTCCGGAAACTAATTTAACTCTCGCATCCTCTCTCCCCGCCGACCAATGGGGGGCGGCGTACAACACACAGTCGAACCTCCCCCATCGACGATCTCCAACCTCTCCCCTCTCCTTCCCTGCTCATCTCTCGCGTATAGATTCCGGGGCTCGCTGGGGTGGGATGTGTCTATGCTCCGAATGAATCGAAACCCGGAACGAGTCGTGGAAAAGGTAAGCATATCGCGTGTATACCGGTGTACAGAGGCGCGCGTTTCGTTCGAAACATTCGAAAGAGGGAATGGAAAGTGTGTCATGGATCCGGTCAAAGCACTCGATCCGCAGCAGTTGCGGATTGCGAGCTATCTTGTTTCGAGTGGCCATCCACGAGTGGCATTAATTAAAGGGCTCGCGAGGTGTAATCGAAAGGGACGTCTCGCTTTTGCTCGATTCCTTGATAAAGTCGATTCCAGAATATCGGATGAAATTATAGCGTGAATGAAATGATATCCGTAATTCTTTTGGCGAGGATTGTCCTGACGAGGATTTTCATGCCTCGCGTCGTTTACTTGGATTGGCGATTAATAGCTTGAATTCTTTGATGTTTTTTTTCCCCCTCCCCTTTGTTGTCTTTAACCTTCATTCGTATGTCTTATTTTTCTTTATCGATATGTTTTTAAAAATTCTCTCTTCTCGTCGTCGTTTGCGATTAATTTTACCATTTTCATTGTATATTTATTTTCATTATTTTCACTATATATATTTACTTCGGGGGATCGGATCATGCTTCTCCTTTTCTTCGAATAAAGATTTGTCGGGAATTTTTATGCCGGGACAAGTATACGTATTCAATTGTTGTAACGGAAAAATAATTAAGCAAGCAAGAGTATCTAATTTCACGGTCGAATGGTAGACGAGAGTGAGCCGGGGAACGCGTCACGGGGGCCATTGTGATTCCTCGATATTCGTACAATTAACAGGTGATTTTAATTGGATAATTCGGATCCGGTTCTTTCACCGGTGCACTCTTCCTTTTAATGGAACCCATCCTAAAACCTGACGGTTCGCGTTATGGAAGCCTCCATCTATTCAGGTCGCTCTCAGCTGTCTGCTAATTCAATTAGCCAATTTTCATTGTACCGTTCACGCGTCTACCGGTCTGTTTTAATTCGTGGATAGAATCCATGAACGATATCCTTTTCCACCGTCCGATCCTTTCTTTCCTTTTCCTTTTCCTTTTTTTTCCCCTCCCCTTTTTTTCTCTCCTTCTAATGTCTGAGTACGTCCATTTCGTGTTTGCTCTCGGTCAACTACGAGCCTCTTCGTTCCACGAACTTACTGTATTACGGCCACGCCGTATTCCATCTGGTGGCGGCGCCGTTATTCGAGTAAAATGCGGGCATAATACCACGCTTAAAATTCAAGGCTGAAAAATTTTCCAATTTTTTTCGTTTCTCTCTTTTTCCTTTTCTCTCGATAGCCAAACAGGAAATAAGTAAATGTAAATGTGGAAAAATTCTATTCTATCTAGCCAGGAGCGATACGCGAAGGAAAGATACGCAAGGAATAATGGATGGGAAGGCAGAGACGCAGAGAAAACTAAGGAATAATCGATCTTTATACGTTATATATTGCCAAAAGAATGGGGAAAGGGGAAGGGGAAAGAGCGGATAGCGCGCCAACAAAGAGAAAATATCGAATTATTATCCGCCAGGATATCCACGAGTAAAATGTTCTCTCACAGATGTTCTCTCATTATGCGAGGAAGTCTTCATTTTCACCAAGGATGGAGGACGAAGAATTACGCATTCGATAAATCGTAAATATCTCTTCCCCTTTCTATCGACATCCGAACATTCCCTGGATCGAACGTGACGCGTTTTTGAAATCGATGGAAATTCCTCCATGATCCGTCGAGGAAATTTTAACGCGAATCGAGAGAGCGCGTTAAGAAACGCATTCTTATTAGAATGCAACCTAGTTCGCACGCCACGAGAGCAGGAGCTTTACTTAGCCGTTAAAGTATCTACTTCTACACCTACCTTTCTCCTTTTCTACCCTTAACGCACCATTTCTCCAGTTGGAAAAAAGAGCCGTCGATAACACGCTACGTACGTAAGTTGGGTAAAAAAGCGGGGCTGCGAAAGTTGAACTCCTTCGAGGATATTGATTCGAGGAAAAGTTGGGAAGGAACAGGCTCTTGCAGGTAGAAGAACACGGAGGGAAGAATGTTTACACACGGGCCACCGTGTGTCGTCCTCCCCTCCCCCCCCCCTCCCCCTCTTGGAAACAAGCTGTACCTGTTTGTTATTGCTCTCTCCCGTGGACCGGTTTCTTTAATTTCCGACGATGGATGTGCGCCGGGTTCGAAGATAAACGGTCGCCACGAGGACGACAAACAGCGGAAGAGCGAGAACGTTGAATATTTGACGAGCAAACTCCGGATGAATTTAACGACCTTTTCCCGCGCCCGCTGTTTGCCCACCGCGTCCCTGCCAATTTTTAGGCCGACCCGTCAACTGTCCACGGCTACAAGCAATACAGGATAATGGGAGCGGGGCTCGAAAAATACCATTGAAAAAAACTGGAGCGACCAACGATTGTTGCTGCGTCCAGATAAGATAAGAACACGCCACGCTTCTGATTCCCTTTTTTACCCTCCTCTCGCGCGCGTATTCCCCGGCGCTGTTCTGTTCCCCGGGAAGGGAAGGCACGATTTCCTTTTTCCTTCGTCGGCGGAAGACGAAGGCCGGATAAGGAAAGAGGGACGAGAACCAAGTCCCGTCGAGGGGATTCGTCGGTGGAGGGGAAGATAACGGGGGGAAAGGGGAGAGGGGGAGGAGAGGGAGAGAGAGAGAGAGAGCTTTATTTACGAATTCTCTGGAAGATGCGGCGAAAGAGAGAGAGAATAGGTCGGACGAAAGGCGAGTTTCGTTCGCGAAGGGGGAGGAGGATCTGCGAACGGAGACAGTTATCGAGGGGAAGGAGGGGAGGAAGAAGCTCTATAGAATTAAGAGCCCATTAGCCTTTCATTAACTCGACGTTGGATCCGCGGAGGGATACTCTTTTCTAACCCCTTCTTTGTGGCCGTGTCCCTCGCAGCGAGCAGACAGAGGGGAAGCAGCGTCTCGATGAAAACTGGATCCATTCAACCACCGCCAAGCCACTTACCACCATCTGGTGTACACGCGAACGAGTCTCCCCCTTCCCTATTGTCTCTCTTCCCAAATAGGGAAGAGAGATCGCGTTGCGAACGTGACAGCCTGTTCAGATTTAAAAACGGCGATCGAGCTAAGGAAAGACGAAGAGAATTTGAAGAGTTGCTCTTTAAAAGGAGAGGATACGTAGAGACTTCACGTTCGAGATAGGGGAAATTTAGCCTGAAAAAAACGTGGAAACGATTTCTATTCATAGATTTATATCTCTGAAGACGAAGGAATCGGGGGAGGAAGAGGGAGAGAGAGATTTCGAGGGGAGGAAATTGAAATTGGAGAATTGAAATCGAGGAAAGAGGGAGCGTGTTGCGACGCGACGTGTGTAACCGCGGCGAGGCTTTTCTCCGACGCGTTTAGTCGTCATTCAATTAGACGATAATTGACTGTCAAACTCGTGGCACGCCGGCGCCGCGCAGGCTCGTTCGACTGTAATGCCAGAAACGGGTTAATTGCGTTATGGCTGTCATTATCTCGGTCGCTGAGCATGCAGCTCTCGAGAGGAGCGCCATCCACGAGACGCGGCTTGTGCACGTAATCCCGGTTACGTTTCGTTGGAACGTTTAGTTCGGCTAAACGTTCAACGAGAGACAACAGGAATTTCGCCACGTTTTATTCGATTTTGTGATCGATCAGTTTTTGAACTCGGTTTTTCTTACCGACAAACCCCGCTCGTCGAATTTCACGGTTAAATGCAAAACACATTTACCGGGACAGACGCGGGGAAATTCCTGAAATTGCCACACCCACGACAAAATTAATTTTAATTCCTATTTTAAAACGGAAACGTAATTATACATATTATTAATTGTATCTTTATAAATGCGATTAATTATAAATGTAATTACTAAATGTAATTATAAGCGTAGATATTTATAACTAAATTAAATGTCCGCGTATTCGTAGCAAAGATTATAAATGGACTCACGATCCGTTAACCTACATTTTTTTTTTTTTTTTTTTTTTTGATGCTTGAAATGCACTGCTACGCCCTGTCCGGAATCTGGAATAGGCCAGTGAGACGATATATATATATATATATATATATACGAATGATTAAAAATTAATCCCTCTTTTTATATCTAGGAAAACGTGTCGTAGAGATAGAAAGAAAAAAGCGATTTAAAAAAGAGATTTCGAATGATCGAAGTTATAATACAACCTTTCAAATTTCTCCTAATTTTAATCGAGTTTTAAATTCAGTCACCAATTACGTTCATCACCCTCTTCGAGAAAAAAGAACATTTCTCTCCCAATCCGACTTTTAAAAGATCCTCCAACCGCGTCGATCGATCGAACACAGATTCTCCCAAGTTCCATAATCTTCTTCTCGACTCTAACTGACAATGTTTATTTTCGCTCAAAGAGGATTATTAATCTACGCATTCCGACCGAAGATATCACGGCTCGGCGACATTTTAACACCCACCACCACGATGATCCATCTTGCGGGCGACGACAAAAACTCCGACACGTTCTCGGAATAAAGTCAGCCAACGGAACAGGCATCGCGAAAGGGCAAGGCGGCGGCAGTCGACGCGAGAATCCCCCGTTTCACGGGGACAGCGTTAATTAACGTTCTCGCGTTAATCGTTGGGTCGATGCGTTTTCCGCTTTCACGCTCCTCTGTTTTCGGGAATTTCGTCCCGTTACCCTGGCGACGTTCGGTCGAGCAAGCCGCCGCCGCCGCCCCACGAATTAAACGGATAGCGATAGAGACGATGGAACAACTTACCGGGATCCGAGGAAGGATGAGCCCTGGTGAGTCTGCAGAGTTGCAGCGGCAGATAACGCGTATCCGCCCGCGGTGGTGATTTCGGGGGCGGCGGTGTCGCGCTGAGAAAGCCGCGCTGCAACTCCCACCCCACCTCCTGGATGATCGACGCCTTCCTGAAGTACGGTGTCACCTCCCTCAGATACTTCACTGCAACGAAAAATAAATAAACAAATAAATCAGAGCAATTCGGATTTTCGCCAGTTTCGAAACGAAAGGGGAGAGGGGGGCCGTCGATCGAAGCTTCAGAAAGGACGATTTCTGATCGCTTTTACGATGTGGAGCGCAGATTTTTGGATTTCAAGAGTTTCGAAACGAGGGTGGTTCCGTCGATCGAATTTTTCATTTACAAGCTTTAGATAAGAAGCTTTGGCGTTATACGGATGGAGACGGGGCGTAAATAAAATCGGTAAGATTGTCAGAGTGGCGAGCAAAAGTTTCTTTCGAAATCCGGAAATCAAGACGGACGATTTCTCGTCGCTTTTACGGCGTCCAGCCACGAAATTTGCCGTTGAACAGAGAGGAGGAACACCTATCTCGCCTCGTAAATCGTAGCGGATCATCTCCGTCTCGCCATCGAGGCGTCTGCGAGATACGTACGCGGTCACGTACAGACCGTTTCAGAATCCAATTTGTCGTTGATATTTCGACGGTCGCCGCGCCACCGATGCGATTACATACAGGACAAACTCGTTAAAGTTCGAAGGGAGACACACGCGAGGCTGGAAAAAGGGGGAGGAACGCGGAGGTGCAATCCTGGGAGAGCTAACCGAAACGTGCACAGGTACACAGCCTCGAACGGCAGGGAAATCGTAAAAATCCCGATCGTAAAGTCGGGATACTTGTGCTCCGAGAGAGAGAGAGAGAGAGAGCTTAATATCGAACCGATCGAAATTTCCAACCTCCTCCTGCTCTAGAATTCTAGTTACCGAAATTACCGATCCACTCGTCGAGCAAATGGCGGGTTTACGACCGGTTTTGCTTTTAAGAGCAATCCGGGGATCGACGGTTGTTTCCGCGCCAACAACGCAGCCGTTCTTCGTTTATGTGGATAGATTCGACGCGAAATTCGTCGTCGTCGATGATCAGCGATGCTCGTAGCAGCATTGATAACGCTCCATTGATCGTAGACTCTAATCATCGGCCTCGGCCGACTTTTCTTACCGTAGGGAACGGCTGGTTCCAATTTCAACGATGCCCATTGATAAGCGACGAGGAACGCGCCGTAATGCGAGTAACCAATCCCGTGGTGCAAACAGTCATCCATCCATCCATCCATCCGATCACTGACTCGTCGCATTATTAATAATTAGACGCGATCCGACTGTTTGTCCCCGATTTCCATCCGATTGGATTACCACCGCAGAATTTCCACTTGTGTTCCTATCGTTCGAATAAATTTCACGTTGGTTTCGCTCGATGGAAGGGATGGCTCTTAGACAATTCGCAAGATCAACGAATAGAAAGTAGTTTCTCGATTATCTTTTTGTTATAAGGTATAAAAGTTCATTGAAATTTTACCTATAATTTTATTATTAAACGTTGCTGTCACTATTCCGTAGATGACATTCTTTTGTTTATCTTCGATACGCGATCGCCGGTTGTTATAAAATATATCCATTCAGTTAAATCAGTATATTTCTCATTTATTGTTCACCACTGCATAACCAACCAACACTTTTCTCTTTCTTTCTTCTCAGAGTCACGTCGTCGCGATTATGCCTCTCTCTCCCTTCTCGCGAGATATCTCGACCGGCGAAACGAAGTATTTTCGAGACCCGAATCGTGGCTTTGCGCCGGACCAGTGCAGAATCGTCGAGGAGGGGAGTGGGTGAAAATATTCGAGGGGAATATAGTTGGCAATTTTCGGACGACGCGGGCGGACGAGCTCGAATCCAACGATTGCCCATAATTTTCGAACGCGCGTTCGAAGCCTCGATCGAGCGAATCGGCCCTTCCATTCTTCCGACCAGTAATTTCCCTCCTCCTCCTCCTCCCCTTCATCCCCCTCGATCGAACACGCGGCCGTTAACGAAATTCGCGACAATTTTCCCGCGTGAAGCGAGAATATTCCGTGTTCCGACCGATCTCCACAGATCCGCGAGAAAACGAAGGAACGAAGGTTGATGAATCCTTCCGGGGGCGGCGAGGGCAAACAGCCAAGTCTGTTCCGAGAAAGACGCTTCGTTTCGTCTCGGAGAAGAGGTCAAGGAGGGAGAGGATGTTTAGAAAGTGAAATACGCTTTTTCTATTTGCCGTATCTCGAGAGAGAGAGAGAGAGAGGAGGTGGTACGAAAGGAT